TGTGGAATTCTGGGAGTTGAAGTCCACAAGTCTAAAAAGTGCCTCACCAGGGCTAAAGCTGACTGCACGTCACTGGACTACCTATATATTAAAAGCTGCTGTATTTTTGCATAAGGCATTAAACATTAATTGTGCATGTGTTCTGATGTAACTTCTATACAGCTTAATGGAATCTTCTTAATATTACTGATTTCCTATACAGCTAAAGGGCAAAATACTTTCTGCTAAAAGTAAAAGTAAAATTTTCAGATCAGTCACTAATTCTAATATACAAAGGTCTGAACCAGATCCATTGTGTGCATTAATTAGTGTCCCTGGAGAGGGGTTTGTTTGAGTACAATAAGAATGCAAGGGCACATCTGCATCCATTTTAGCTACCAATGGAAACGTGTGATTTATAACTAAACTGAACTTTTTTTTCTCATCATTTTTTTTTTAAAATTTCTTGTTGAAGTTGCCTGCCGCTGCAGCATAATGAGGTCACCATGCCAACTCTATTGGTATGGGGAGAAAAAGATCCTTTTATGGAAGTTGAGATGGCAGAAATCACAAGAATGTACGTGAAAAATCAGTTTCGACTTACTGTTTTGTCTGAAGCCAGCCATTGGCTCCAAGAAGATCAGCCCGACATCGTGAACAAGTTGATATGGACTTTTCTAAAAGAAGAGTCAAGAAAAAGAGAGTAACTCTTTTGAAAGCACAACTGAAATATTAAAAGATCGAAGTTCGGGGTAATGAGGGCCACATTAATGGCAAAATGTTAGATTGAACTATGCTAGAGAAGATATTTTCAATGTACTGTATATATTGAGGCCAATATTCTTACCAGGGTGGTGTAAGACTATGTAACATTAATGTTGGTTTTACCTGTATTGTGTATTTTGCACATGGAACACTTGCCTTAAAATGTTTGTGCTTGTACAGTAAGGAACTCATAGAAAGTTGCTTAGTTTCGGTTACTTACTTGCTTTAAGATGTGTGGTGCCTTTTATGAATTTATAATTATCTCAGTGCAGGGGTACCAGTTGTAAAAGAAACAATTATTGGTAAAATGATCAATTTTCATTCTACTGGTTGGAATTTTTTTAACTATATTTTTATCATTAAAAATGCTAATAGATCTTTTGATCTAAAGTATATATAATTTTAGAAGTCTAAAAATGTTTGGGCACACCAGAAATCAATCAGATATAATCATTAAAAAAATTGATTGCTTCATGTGCAGTGGTGTAAATTAAAAAAAATAATAATAATATGTGTGCACAAAGTATTTTAAAAACTAAAATAGAAAATGAAGAACCAATCATGACTTGTATATTCTCGTTCTAATAAACCGCAACTGGCATTGTGCCCTGTATCTTCTGATTATGAGATTTCTGAATGTATGACAGAAAAGGTGGACATTACCAACCAATAAACAATTACTGAGGGATGCGGTGGCTCAGTGGCTAAGATGCTGAGCTTGTCGATTAGAAAGGTTGGCAGTTCAGCGGTTTGAATCCCTAGGACCGCGTAACAGAGTGAGCTCCCATTACTTGTCCCAGCTTCTGCCAATCTAGCAGTTTGAAAGCATGTAAAAATGCAAGTGGAAAAAATGAACACTTGGTAGAGAGAATACTGGATGAACCTGACTCTGGAATAACAATTA